GAAAAAAAAAAAAAAGAAGTCACTTTAAAAATGAGCAAAACAAGTTCCTGACTTCAAAACATCGATAGTCAGTTGGGAGACAGGGAAATACATACTCTGTACAAGAAACATCAAGGCTCTTCAGCAGCATGAGACTGCTGTACTGCATTTGAGTAACCAGGCAGTCCTCTGAGGATTTATTAATTCAACCAGTGTCAAGTCAAGCTCAGATTGTTAGGTAATAACTCATGGTTTTCTCCATCAAAATCTTTGGAGGGAATTCTTGGCTCAATCAGAATGATTGTTTCAACCAGTAGGCAATGCAGATACATTTTAATGTTAATTATTTAAACTTAAAATAGTATAATATACAAATAGTCATCACTATTTACTTAATGAATACAATTTGGAATCCTGGGAACCCCCACAAATGAAAAATGTACATGGATGGCAAAATTTCAAAGTCAGTTGACCAAGTGACATCAATTGAGTTTTCCCTAATGCCACAAGGCTGTACCGTGTTAGCTGGTCAACAGAAACAGTGGTTATTTTTGGTCTTGGAATATGTGAATTTAATGATGTGAGGTCATTAAAGCACACCTATCTCATAAAATGTCAGTTCTCTGTTCTACCTTGAAAACCAAGCCCCTGGCTCTCCTTTCAGGTAAACCTCTGTGTGCATGCTGCTGCCTTTATTTGTAATCCCTTTTTGTGGGCTTATCTACTAAGTAAGTTCTCTTCCTATTTTAATACTTCATTCAGAGAAATGCTTTTCTGAGATATCCCTTACTACCTTACTCCACCCAGCCTTCTTAGCTTACAATTCTATAGAAACATGTACAGATATGTGTTGGAAAATTGTCTTGTGGTTTCTTGCACATCTGTTATCTGCTATTGAAGTGCAGAGGAGCTTTGGTGGTGCTGTGGGTGAGCTGGTGGGCTATTAAGTGCAAGGTCAGTGGTTTAAACTCACCAGTCATTCCTGGGAGAAAAAGGAGGTTGTCCACTCCCATGAAGATACATAGTCTTGGAAGCCCTGCTTGGGGTCACTATGAGACAGAATCAACTTGGTGGCCATGGATATCAGGAGTGCAAGGACTATGTCTTGGGTTCTTGGAAGGAAAAGTTACATAATATAGAACCCAGCATACAGTGCAACAAAATATTTCTAACATAAATTCATGTATTTAACTAATATATTATGTGCCTATTCAATGTATCAGGTGCCAATCTAGGCACTGAATGGGTCATGAGAAATCAAACAAACCTAGTCCTTGCCCAGACCTCCAATCTCAGCAAGGAGAAACATAATAGATAACTATAAGTATAATAGCAAAAGCAGGATAAGATATATCTAAGAAATCTAAGTTTTTCTAAGTGATTAAAGAATTAATCCCTGTCTGGAGGAGAAAACCATGGAATCAACCATTCTGGCAGGACATGGGAGAGGGGGAGGCAGGGGAAAGAAAGTGGGTGTTAACAAACCCAGTGACAAGGGAACAACAAGTGATCTAAAATCGATGGCAAGGAGGGCGGAGGATGCCTGGTGGGGCTTGTTCAAGGGCAATGTAGCTGAGAAATTACTGAAACCCTTATGAAGCTGAACATGATAGTGGGACAAGAGGAAATTAAAAGGAAATAGTGGAAACAACTAGGAGCTAAAGGACATTTATAGAGGTCTAAATACAGGCATACACATATGTAAATACATTTATATATAACTATAGGGAAATAGATCCATGTACATATAATTATATGTTAAGTATTAAGGTAGCAGGCAGACATTGGGCCTCTACTGAAGTACCCCCTCAATGCAAGAACACTTTGTTCTAATAAGCCAGCATTCTGTGATGCTCACCTTCCCAACAGGATCACTGAAGACAAAATGGGTGCATAAGCAAATGTGGTGAAGAAAGCTGATGGTGTCTGGCTATCAAAAGATATAGCATCTGGGGTCTTAAAGACTTGAAATTAAACAAGTGGCCATCTAGCTGAGAAGCAACAAAGTCCATATGGGAGAACACACCAGCCTGTGTGATCATAGTGTCGGTGGGATCAAAGACCCAGAACCAAAAAATCATAGCAATGTGAATGAGGGGGAGTGCAGAGTGGAGACCCAAAGCCCATCTGTAGACAATTGGACATCCCCTTA